AGGATAGTGTGTCTGCGTGTGTCTGATTCAGTTCAGGGGGAGGTTGTGGTCGTAGTAAAAGCCAGGATGGGCGCCTCAAGTGTTGTCAAACAGCAAACTGGGGGTCGCTTGATGTTTTTATGAAGCGAGTCTGTTTGGAAATTAATCGTTAGTCTCGGTTTTATTGCTCAAATTACCCGAGCCGGTCCTTGTCCTGTTTGCCCTTAATTAACAAGCGTTCAATTCCCCTATTAATTAGCACAAGCTATTAGCTATTTTACATCACTCTTCATTTGTCGACAATTAAAAAGGTCTATTATTAAAAGGCACACCACATGGTTAATTGGGCAAGTGGCTGAGCAGCAGGAGGAGGAGAGGCAAGAGGACAGTGCAGACACTCTGAATGTAGGGAGGAGTCGGAGAGGTCTACTGGAGCTCTCACACAACCTTTACAGTCTGTCTGTCTTCAATTTGTTGCCTGACACTCTGTCCTCGAGAGAGGGACCGTCTCCCTCACTACTGTCACACACTTGCTGCATTCGGACTCCGGCAGCACGGCTCAGCAGTACGGGCGTTAGAGGATGGGAGGTGTGTGTGTGTGTGTGTGGTGCTGGATAAGAGGTTTCTTTGTGCACTTCCATTCATACCTCAGGACCTGCAGCACTGTATGTGTAGAATATCAGCGGGTCTCGGGCATCCCCTCTGCTGCAGCATCGGCTTGATCCCTTTCTCATGTTGTTTGTGTTTGAATGTTGAATCAGATTCAGAATCTCTTTGTTATATAAATACAAAACATGTGATCAGAGAAATGGGAGCCTGACACTTTGTGATGTGTTTTGTTTTTTGTCTCTGCTTTAAGTTCAGCAACACATTTAACTGGAGCTGAAGATCTGATATCATGGGAAATCCAAACATTATGGGATTACACTGAATAAACGAACAAAGAACAAAATTCTTGGATAACAAGGCACAATATAGTCCCAGCAGAACCAAAACAAAGCAACATATTAAAAGTGGGAAGATAAGTAAAAATGTGAGAGGACGAACTGGAGAAGAAGAGAGTTTGAAGGAGAGGAAAAAAAACACGGTAAAGACAGACAAAGGTGTGCAACGGGAGACATACAGGGAGGTGGAGGTATCCTCTCTCTTTAACTCACCCTGCCTCACCCCTCGCCCTCTGCCAGGGCTTAACAAGTGGCAGGGGGATGCAGGCAGGCCGAAGCTGTGCTGATTGACAGAACAATTACTGCTAACACGCACCACGACGGAGAGGCAGACATCTCCAAATAGAATTTCACTATGTTGTTGCATCACATGCTTACAGGAAGGATCTCGGTAGAAAAGCAAAATTGCCCTGACTGACTGACTGACTGACTGACTGACTGACTGACTGACTGGGAGCTGAGCACGACTGCTTGAAAAGCACTCCCCTGTTGTTTGTTACCTTCCGTAAAAGAAGGCGGAAAAAAGCATTTACCCTTGATCAAGGTTGGCTGGGTCTAACTTTAGAAGCAATGTTTGGCAAAGCCATTTCCTCCAACTCTGACTGTTCATCTGTTAGCTCAGTTAGAGGTGCGGCTATTTTTATCCACACACCTACTGACTGACGAAGAAGTGGAAAGTTAATTAAAAGAGACACGACTCATCGGAACAGTTCCAGTAAATTATACATCACGGATCTAATAAGCTAGAAATGATGTAAAGATGTGTGTTTGAGCTTGTGAGGTTAAAGTGACAATAATGTCAGAGTTAAATGTAAATCATGTTTGTTTGAATTGTCTTACAGACAGAAGATTACACACTATACACATGAAGTTAAAATGTCAATGAGGATGTCGCTGTAAAGTCGGTAATTGAATTATGGCCGTTTAGTTGCACAGATGAGAAGGTTTGTTGTTTTTGTATTTGAAATCATGTAGGAGAGATGAAACGTTTATGAATCGATTAGCTGATCAACAGACACTTAATCAGCAAATGATAATTCAATAATCAATTAATCATCTCAGTCCTTTTTCAAGCAAAAACACTAAACTATCTCATGTAGAAAACATTTTTTCGCATGTTGAACACAATTACAAACTGAATATCTGAGTTTTTGACTGTTGGTCGGACAAAGCAGGATATTTGAAGATGTCACTTTGCACTTGTGAACTTGTGATGGATATCATTTTAAATTGGCGCCCTAATGTGTCGTCTTGGAAAAGATTTTCTGCTGTCATTCTGCTGCCTCTCCTTCTCCTCCGCTCCACACGGGACTCTCTTCGAAGCATCTGTTGGTTGATGCAGTCAGTCTCATGCAGCCATCCTGGCCATTTACACCCCCCCCCGGCATTCCGGCCTCCAACAGCTGCATTACACCACGCTCTCTGACTTTCTAATTAGCTTATCTCGGGGAAAATAAGGATACTGAGCAATTCTTTGCTCTAGCAGTCTAAAACCAGCAGGCCACAGGGAGCGTTGGTTGGCACCTAGTGTCACCAAGGGGGCTGTTGTCTTCGTCAGATTGGTACGAGAAAATATGTTTCCCTCTCTTTCCTCATAAACACTCTCACTACTTTTCTCAATTTCTTGGATTTTTTTTCCACTTTGAACTTTAAGTCAATTACAAATCGCAAAAAGCCAATTTAATTGCAAAGATGTAATATTGTCGGTGTTCAGGGTGAGCAATGAATCTTGCAACTAATGAAGAAGGTTTGCTTTTATTCAGCAGCTTCTCAACCACACAGATTAAGCTACAAGGGGCTGGTCATTTTTAAGTCCAGAAAATGAAAAAGAAAGTGTTAATTTGCTATTCCTACAATGACAAAGTATAATATTCATTCTGCGGGTGTTTAATGAACTTTGCAGTGCAAAGGGTAGTCTGTGCACTTAAGGAATAAAAACCCCTTATCTTAATCTGTCATACATTTCAAGAGCAATGTCGTCCTTTTTAATTAGTTTGTCCATCATTCGCTGTTTATCAAACAGGTAACCCGTAGCTGTGTTTGAATGCCACATGATACAGTAAATCCGGGCCTCTTGTTTGCTCTGCTGTCTCCAGGCTTAAAGAGTGAACGATGGAAGGAAAAGAGGGATGGAGGAAGGGATGGAGGAAAGATCCTTCCACCTGTAGCAGTGAACGTCCTGCAGGACTGTAATCTGCCAGTTGTCTCTCACAGCGATGCCCGGCTTAGCCGAGGCCAGCCAAGCCCTGCAGCCTCCAGCGCCAAATGATGCCGGGGCCCCAGGACATAAGGCACCTGCACGGGGAGATAAAGGCTTCAACTCCTGGGCTAATACTGACGATTCTTTTGATAAATACAGACGTGGGGGCGGAGGTGGGGGGGGGGGGGGGTCTTTGGGTGGAGAAATCTTTTCCCGCTACCTCTCTCTCATTCTCTCCTCCCTGTCTACCTGTCTCAGTAATCTCTTTTTCTTGTACTTTGTTTTTTTTTTCTCTTCCGCCACACTTTCGCTGTCTGTTTCTCCGCAACTCATCTCTCTCTCCGTTCCTATACCTCCCTCTCTCTCTCTGTACCTTCTTTATCCTGTCCTGTGTGAGTTTGGATCAGACAGGCGAAGCACTCCACGCTCTGCCTTTTTATTTATTCCATATCTGTAACTGTCAAAAAGAAGATTGCTACTTTAGGAGCTGTCTGTGCTTTGTTGTGCTCGCGGAAAGTCAAATGGAGGAGGTTGTGTTAAAAGCATCTTGACCACTTTGTGGGGACACAAACAATGTCAGCTGCGGTCTTGGAAGCCCCAGACAGTTGAAATGGTTCTATAAGTGCATGACACATGAAGCCTTTTGGACGGCACAGTGCTGAGAGGAGCGGTTAAAACAGTATTAGCCTGGGGAGGTAATTGGAGTTGGGCTACGGTACCTCCTGCTGTGTCTGTCACTTAAATACCTATTTATAAGAGCTTATTGCAACATAAACATGGCCAGGGTTGCGTAATTAGCGAATTACAAAAAGCTCTGAGACCTGAATGACCCAGCAAGGCTGCTGCTCAGATTAACACCTCAGACGCCAAATGAGGAGTCACGCCCACTCAGAAAGTGGGACGATAATTACATGACACGAAATGCCAATCACATTGCCAATGCATAAAACTATATTCCTGTTTCTATACTAAATGTATAGAAACGAGAATGTGAATTTGCTTTGAAGAGTTGTCCACACTGTAACCGACAGAGTAACTCCACTCACATGAGAAATAACACCAATTTTAAAGCGAGCACTTGCCAGCTTCACTGCAATAAATATACGGTTTGCAGGATGAAACAATAGCAGTGGCTGGCACTTAAAAAAAAGACATATCTCCACGAGCAAAAACAGATAACTCTAAGTGCAAAGTTGCAACTACACCACACAGAGTCAAAACAGAGGGGGCGAGCCAGCCGAGCCGAGCCGCATCATGTTGCACTGTGCTGTATCGTCGGCAGCAGTTCATCTTTCCTGTCTGCGGTGTCATGCCCATTGTCTATTCCCATTAGCCTGTGACCGGCGTGCTACGGTATGGTCGGTGTGGGTGCTAGGCTAGCAGACGCAGACGGCTCGGTGTGGCAGATGCCTGGCTTTTCCGCGGATGCCCTCCATCAACTGATGACAGATGTCAGGGCTCCTCTTGGACGGCAACACTTCATCACGCTACCCTGTTCCCCCTCCTCGCCCCGCTGGATTCACCAGCCTGCTTGGCAGTCCAACCCCACTGCACCAGCCCCGCTCCCTCCTGCCACACCTATCTATCCATTCACTCACACACACACACACACACACACACACACACACACACACACACACACGCACACTCGCACATCTCTGCATCCATCAGTCAAGCGTTATTACATCAGACAGCCGTCATACTGGCAACCAATGGATCACATGCAAATGTGCCTAGACGCATCCACTCTGGAAATCTAAAGTATCAGTCTTTGGTGTGTGTGTGTGTGTGTGTGTGTGTGTGTTTGTGGGAGTGTCTACTGTTGGGCAGAGAAGAAAGGTTTTTCAAAGTTACGGAAAGTGTGATTGCACACTTACCATTTGGGCCGGCTGGTAGACTTGATTACCGGAGACATTCCATCTCTGTAGAGGCTCTTGGTCTTGGAGAAGTTGACCACATTGAAAATGACTCTCTGAAAGACAGTGAAGAACATTGAAGCCACATTAAAGCCACAAATGAATAAAAGTCGCAGTGCGTTAGGTAGTACTTAGCAATATTTTTACGAGTTTGTCTGTGTTATATTTGCTTATTTGTTTTTAATGTGCTGAGAAGGCTAAGAAGATATATCTAATTATCTAATAAAACTTAATTTAAGTCACGATCACCAAATAAGTATCATTTCAGTGAGGGACTGCTTTCCAAACAATGCATCTTGAATATCTTGAAAATATACCTTTGAGCATTACAGACTTATAATGACACACAACACTTCCTAACGGGGAAATATAGCTCAAAATGAGTTTTCCCAGCTAATTTAAAGATCTCTTTTTATCTTGAAATGCCTAAATATTACATCTTATTTCATGATATCTTACCAAGCGAATTTTCCCTTTGTTCCATTGGCAGATGAATTTGATAAGCATAACACAGAAAGCTTGACTCATTCTTTACAATCACTTCCTTGTCATGTGACATAAGAGTGGCTGTAGCAGGAGAAGCTCAGCGAGAGGTAAAAACTTTCCACTCCCACGATGGATAACGCCAACAACACACCAAATCACCACACATTAACATTACAGTGAGGAGATAAAGCAGCTTTAACATCCCGCAGATGATCCCATGTTGCAGTAACAAAGTTCCCGATAAAAGGCAGCCGCTCCGAGGAGTGCCAGCCTCTAATCTGGGTGGACATTACGCTTCTCCCCCAGAGGGATGCTGCCTGGCCCTAAACATTAAGCTCTGCCCGGAGCTCAGAGGGCAGCCATGGCGTCTGGCTTTCCACCTCCTCTGGACCAAGGACTTTCTTTTTCTTGAGCTAAAATATTGTGGAACAGCCCTTCCTTTCCCCAACCTCCAGCATGCATGATAAGGATCAGGAGGAGCGGGGAAATGTGGAGAGAGAAATGAATAAATACGCTTTTTAAAAAGTCAAATGAATGGCAATGGTAATAATGCGGTGAAGTAAATGAATCCTATTGATGGGGCATATCAAATTACCAACTTAGTCCAGGTGGTGGAATTTAACTGGGTGCTACTGAAATCCTATTACAGACTCCCCTCCCTCCTCTCCCTCCTCTCCCTCCCCCTCATCCATTTCTCTCTTTTCCTCCTGCCTAGCATCAGAGGAATGGGGATTGCGGATTGTGGCAAGCTGATTCAGACTTAGGTAAAATGACATCTAACTGATGTTGAGACTGGCAGCCGGCTCCTGTAGCAGGGAGATAAGACCATTGCTGCTGGCATTTCAATTACACTTTACTGCCCCGCACATCTGTTGCGAGAGCTACTTTTCAGCCTTTCCCCCTCAGGCAAATACAGCCTTATTCTGACTCCGCTGGCTTTCTTTGACTGCACAGCCTCCTTCCTCAATTCTTTATCCACAGCAAATTCAGATTGTCTTCCTCCTTAGCTCTACTCTACCCACTGTTTGTAATCTATTTTGTTCGGCCTGTTTAACTCAGAGGGAGCCGAGGCTGGACAGGAGACAGAGACGCAGAAGAAGAAGAAGGCTGAATCGCAGGCAAGAGCGATACACAGTACGAGGGTGTGAGACGGTAGAGCAGAGAAAAGGTGCTGCTGCTTGTAATAACGTACAGCAGGGACAGACACAAAGAGACAGGGGATAACTACACAACAGTGCTAAACAGGGCTGGCAGGGAGAAAGTTACTGAGAGGTAAAGAAAATAAACTCCACTGGCTCAGTGGACAGATGTGGAGGACACAGACAGGTGGGCTGGTAGGTGGGAGGCAGGCACACGGCATGTAGAAGTCTCCCTCTGTGCTTTTCTCATTTCATTGAAGCTAAATAGATTAAAGAGAATATTTTGGTTCAGGCTGTGACTAAACATCAGATCACAAAGTCAGTCTTTAACCTACAAGACAAGAGGAACTTTGAGAAGCTTGAAAGCGAAGCAGGAAAACCGTGGCGATTTTACTAACAAGAACAGTCCAGCAGGGAAGATGTTTGTACCACTTTCAAGATGCAGGATTGTTGTACGATTGTGTAGCGCAGTATCTGCTATCTAGTAACGGCTTCATTCGGTGTCCCTGTTTCCAGCTTTCTATAGTTACAGTATTGGAAATGTTGATTGGTGTAACATCTTCTGCTTCATCTGCTTTTAAGCACTATACAAATATACACACACACACACACACACACACACACATTTCTAGTGTGTCTCTCAGTGAGTTCTGGAGTCATTTTATGAAAATAAATTCTATATCCGTATGCCATTTTTTGTCAGGTGGATGTCCATTTTTTCTTTCCACTTGCGTCTCCAAACGAACACAACTGTTGGATAGCAGTTGGAGTTTACTCGGTATCAAGAGGACCAGTGCTTTTTTGCATGAAATTGTACTTTTGCGTTTCCGTCGGCTAAGACCACAGCTTATCACAAAAGCAAGCACAAAGATAAATGCGTGTGGCTTTGGTTGACAGATGCTTCAGAATCAGCAAAAACCTTCCATGTATGTTAAGTTTTGCTTCTTTGATTTTGATTCACTCTTTTTTTTTTATCAAGGCCAGATTAAATGCACAACTTTAAATTCTGGTTTGGAATACATTTATACCAAAATGTCATCCACAGCTGTTTGGAGGATCTATGAGGTCCTTCGTTTTCAGTAGAATAAATACATGTAGCCATCATAGAGCACCAGGATTGATATGAGCATCTGCAATTTCATATTTGAAGAATGTGAGGTCTACACAGCCATGTGAGCTGATAGACACGCCACAGAAAGGATTTTCGTCCATAAACTAAATAAAAGAACAATGCTGTTGCTGTTCTGCATGTGGGTATCTCTCACTCACTCTCTCTCTCTCAAACACACACACACACACACACACACACAGAATTTCATAGATTTAGAATCAAACAAACTGCTGTGGGGCCAATTCTCCAGATCGTTAAAACTTGTGCACAACCAGGACCAATTTAGAACACGCGTGTGTATTTGTGTGTGATGCCCTGGATGATTTAATTAGGCTGGGAGCAGTTAGAAGAGATTAACATCCATGCTGTCTGAGCTGTCATGTCGGCGGAGCGTGTCAAAGCCCTCCGCTGTCCCCGTCACTGCCGAATTACAGACTGGAACAGGTGTCTCTGCTGTGCCACAACACACACACACACACACACACACACACACACACACACACACACACACACACACACACACACACACACACACACAGTGACAAAAGGCGTCCTTAAATATTGTAAACAAACTATTATATTTTTTGAAAATTAGTTGAAAACAGATGAACCTCTTTTGGCTGACCGAATCTTATAACATACACAACTCAAATGAACCTTAATGGTGCAATAAGTCTGATTTTCACTCTCTCACAGCAGCAAATAACTCAAATGTATCTGCAGAGATTTAATGAGGTAGTTCTTCAAAACCAATGACTCTAGAATTACTTCCTTGCAAAACCAAAAAATATCCAAATTGACTCATAAAACCTAAAGCTCGGTATAGTCTTTTTGAAACATATCATGCTAAGCAAACGTTTCCATTGATATGTGCTGTAAGTGCGACCGGTGCATGTTTGAGGCGACTCATTTCTGACCCCAACCTCTTTGCTAACCTTTAAACAGAGTAGCCGGTTAGCCACAGGGCTCGGCACTGAAATAGCCTCGCTGGTGCCTCTTCAGGATAGGATTGCATTTAGGACCAAACACTGTCTTTTGATCTCCATCGATCCAGCCTGTGGTCAGAAAGCATTGCTTCCTGGAAGAAAGCCGGATAAATTATTAAAGGCAGTGTTCTAAATGTGTAGGCCAAGCGCTCCGAAGAGAGAATCCTTATGAGAGTGCTGGCTGAGCAGACTTTATTATGTATGAGCTGAAAAATATGAATGTCTCCAGACTGTGAAAACTATTAAATTATGTTCTGAAACCACACTAATTAAAGTTTTTTTTTTAACAGCAGTTATTGATGAACTATGTACAAGTAGAACTGAAGAGTTAGACTTTATCAATGATTCAAAAATTTAAAAAAAATAATATATATATATATATATATATGTACTATAGGCCTTTAACTGTTGTTAATCTAAAAATAGTTAATCACAGAAACATTCCCACAACACTGCAATTGAAATGCTGCCCAATGGTGTAAGAGGCAACGTAGCTGTGATGTATCAGGTGTCCTGCACTCATCACCAAACGGTGGTTCACTGAATCACCTCGGCTATACTGTGACTTCCTCACAGCTCAACACAAGCGAGCAGAGCAGATCTGTGAGCCCTGTCCATAGCCATCAGAGGCAGGCCGGCTGATAGCTGCTGGCAGCTCTGCCTGTTCCTCTCCTGTTGACTTTGATCAGTCTGATCACTGACGCACAGCGTGCCAACTACCACAGTACTGGGGACTACCTGACACCGCCAGGAGCACAATGCACAATACACACACACACGCACACACACACACACACACACGCACACACACACACACACACACACACACAGAGAGTCCAACAGATGAGCAGACACACACACACACACACTAATACAAATACTGTACTCCCATAATTAGCCGGCTGTTACGGGGAATAAAACACACACACAATTAATAGAGTGGTTAAACAGAGCATCAATTTGACACACATCACAGTGATTTACTGTATGATGGCTTTGACTCAGTTCCCAGCACAGACGTGCAAAACTAAAACGCTAGTCTTCAAATTTTGTGCTCAAGATAATGCTTAATACATCAGATTATCAAAACAATTGTTGCACTTTAAAATAAAATGGTCATAATCAAACGTAAAAACCATGAGAAGCAGATTTGTAATTTAAAACACATGGGTTAATGTGAAGTGATGACTAATTATGTAGGATTGCTCCTCACCTGCAATGTAGTAATGAGGCATGTTTGCAACCACATGTTGCACTAATGTGGTGATCTGTCTAATAATAAATAGGGCTCCAGCTATATCCCTAACCAAGTATTCGGTAAGAATCATTTTTTA